GAAGTTACTTACTTCCGGGTTCGCCGACCAACCGGTTCGCAGGGACCGCCGCGAACCGGTTGAAACCCACCCCTGGCTAATAGGTATGTGTCAATGATCCACAATGGCCGGACTGTAGCCAAAACTGGTCATTGGTGTGCCCAAGGGAAAGTCATCTTTTACAAATGTACAAAAAAAAAATCTATTTAAAAAAAATCTAAAAGGACAAAAATACAAGCTTAGTGAAGGATGATTGTGCCACACAACAGAAGTGACAACTGGAAGAGAGGGAAAACATGCAGGGGGTTGGGAAGGGATTAGTAGGGAATCCTGAATATAATTTTTTTTTTAAGGAAGGGACATTTATGTTGCAAATCTCATAATGTAGATGGTGTTTTGAATTGTGCGCATTTATCTTTACAATAACATATACACATTGAACATTGTTGGCCAGAGATGTAGGTGGAACGTACATCTAAATAAATATGTTTTTTTCCTACGGATCTGATACCACCTTTTAAATAAACGGAGAACCTTCAGAAGAAGAAAAGAAAAGTGCTAAAGAATGCTTAAAGGCAGAAAGTACAAGCCATAAATATCAAATGGTATGGTGTACCTCCAGAGGATGCAGTGGTTTCCCTAATCCAATTTCATAACTTTCTTCGTGTCGTGAACTGAGTAATTTGCCATCTCTCAAATGATCTATTTCTGATAACTTTGTGGCAGATTTGTTGTTATCAATGCTGATTTCAAATTGCGTGCTTGTTTGGGAAACATACTCCGAATACGATTGCTGGTTTACTCCACTTCCCAAAGGGTGAGCGATTCCAGACATCTGGAACTGCTTTTCCCGTGGCAATGGATCGGTGGAAACCATTTGCAACTTCTGAGCTAGTAGCTGATCAGATTTACAACCTGCGCTGCTTATCTCGGTTTGCCTTCTTCTTAATAAAGGAGATGTATTTGTACACACTTTACGTTGTTCAAAATCTCTCAAAGAGCCATCTCCCAAGTAGCCATAGTCAAGTCCTTTCAACCCAAAGTCCAACTGGACGTTCTTTTTGTTGATCTCATTCTGAAACAAACGCAACTGATTACAGTGCTCTCTTTTCTGCAGATCTAGCTGGTGCTTCAAGTGCTCCATTGTTCGTTTCTGCATTTGGAATTCCTCTTCCAGCTTGCGGTACTTCTGCAAATGTTCCATTTCTGCATGTTTCCCTTGCTGTAGCTGGTCACGGCATTTTTGAAGCCTGTTCTGCAAATCTTCGATCTGAATCTGATACATTCTGATGTTTTCTTGAGCCATGTGCTTCTCTTGCTGCAAACTGATGCATTCCATCCTTATGCCTGAAATGTCGTTTTCAGCCATGTTGTGCGATTCCAAGAGTTTGTCGAATTTCTTCTTAAACTCTTCGGCAGAGTGCTTAAATTTAATTGACTCTTCCTGGAGCGACGCCATCTTTTTGCGTGCCGCTTGCTCATCTAAAGTCTTCTGGTGGAAATCGTCTTGCAGTTTCTTTATCTTATTGTTGAGTTCTTGAATGTGAGCTTGCTGTTGCTGGATTTTCGTCTCGTTCATTTTAATTTCCATAGCGAACGTACTCACCTGGGTGTTCAGATTTCTTAGCTCCATCTCAGTGTTCATGTTATAAGTGATATCCCTGTCGCATTTCTGTTTATACTCATTAATTACGTCTTTGGCATTGACCAACTCATCTTCTAATCTCTTGATTTTATCCAGGTGCTCTTGCTCAATTATGATCTGCTTGTGCAGCTCTTCATTTGTAACACGGAGCTGGTCCTTGAAGCTATCAACCAAAGCTTTTAATTCGTCATTTTTCCGGTCAATAATCTGCCTCTCCAGAACTATCCTCTCTGATTCAGTGTGCACTTCAGTCATCATGAGTTTGGTTTCACTATTCCACCTGGTAAGCTCCTCCACCTTCTGCTTTAATTTTTCAACCAAGTGATTACTGTCGGCTAAGTCATCTTTCAGCCTTTGAACGGCCAGCTGGCTCTCTTTTTCTTCTCTTGTTTTTTGAAGCAACTGCTCCTGCAGTTTTCTAAAATGCTCCTGCAGATTGCTTGCTTCCCCTTTGCAGGATATCGTTCTCTGTTCAGCTATCATTTTCTCTTGCTGAAGAGAGGAAATCTGCGAACGCAGCTGCTGAGCGATGATTTCGATTTCTGTGTGCGCCCTTGTCAATTCCTCCAGCTCCCTCTTTAACTGCGCCTTCTCCTTCTGAAGCGACCTCAGGTCTTCTTGATAATTCATGTTCATTCTTTTAAGCTCCATGGATTCCTGCATTACGTCTTCGGCTTTGCCTGTGGCCTTCTGCAGCTGCTTGTCAAGTTCTTTTAGTTGTTCCAAGTAACCTTGCTCAACCAGTTCTTTTTGGTCCAACTCTATTTTAAGGCATCGGAGAGAATGATTGGCTTCGTCCAGTTTTTCTTTCAACAAGCGAGCTTTTTCTTCGGAGGACGCATTCTGCAGCTCAAGCTCGTGAAGCTCGTATTTTAAATCCTTAATTATTTTTTCGGACTTCCTATTGGCCGCCGTTAGCTCGTCTACTATCTGTTGGAATTCGTCTATGTTCTTTATGTCTTGCTTTTCCCTGAAAACGTCCGAGCAAGTTTCTCTTCCGATGATGGTGATTTGCCTTCTGATGTCAGTTATCTCCTTTTCTCTGAACTTGTTTTTCACCGAACTGCCTTGCAGCTCCAGATCACGTTCCATTTCCTTAATGAGTTTCATCAGCTTCTCTTCTTCGGCTGTTTTCTTCTTCAGCTCTTCCATCAAAGCCTTTTTCTGCTGCTCCAGGTCCTGGAGGCTTGTGTCTTTCCTTCTTAAATGTTCTTCAAAGGTTTTTCGAATCATGTTGCTTTCTTCAAGCTGAATTCTGAAAGCCCGAAGATTTTCTTCAACCGCGTTTCTTTGAACCTCAGCTTTCAGAGTGAGCTGTTTCACGCGTTCTAACTCCTGTTCGGCGGCTTCTTTCTCTTTAAGGACATCCTCTAATTCCATGGAAATTCGCTTCGCTTCTTGCTCAGCCTTAGCCTTCTGAAGACAAATCTCTTCGTTTTTCTTCCTCTGCTTCTGCAATTCCCTTTCTGCATCTTCTTTGGCCTTTGGAAGTTCTTCCTCCAGCAGCAGCTTCTGCTTCCTTATCTCCTCCAGAGCCTTCTCAAGTTCACTTATTCTTGCCATAAGTTTCTTGTTCTCATTCAACACTGCTCTCTGCTGTTCCTCCAGGTTAGAAAATTCCCCACGCACAAGGGCCTCCTTGCTTTTCAAGGTCTTAAAAGTAAAAGAAAGAAGTATTACCGTTTGTTTTACTACAGTACTGAAACGTATTGAAATAAAGTTAACGCATGGTTGCAAATACTTACACTATTACCTACAGCGTATTTCAGCGACACAGACTGCTGACCACCACCACCACTGTCCCACTCAGAAAGACACCATAAGAGGAAAGAAAAAAGCTGCAGTTCCACCAACTGATGTCCTCAAGAAGAATTCTCTGCTCATTCAGGACAAGAGCTGTTCCAAGGATTGGAAGTTTCTGCCCCAAAGCAGACTTGCATGTGTCTCTGCTCGAAAGCTAAAAGTGGAATAACTTCTCAGCAATATACATCATGCAAGAGGGGGGGAAAAGCATTTTGGCATGTTAAGGGTTAGTTGAATACGAAAAGAAACGTTTTAGTGCCTAGGACAATTCTTGATTCAGTTTGAAAATACTTTCATAAACTTGATGGCCCCAAAAGATGATTTAGTTAGGGAAGAAGCATATCCTTCTACTATAATAATCGTTATTTAAATCCATGTAGTAATTTTTTGTCAGTTTTTTTTTTTCTTTATCCAAATGAAAACAGAAGAACCTTATTCTAAAATTGTACAGCATTTTTTTTTCATATAGCAATAGCAGTTAGACTTATATACCGCTTCATAGGGCTTTCAGCCCTCTCTAAGCGGTTT